TATCATACTTAAAAAGGCAACATTATTTAAGCTCTACTTCATTAAACATTTTTTAGTTTCCATTTTGAGCAAGGGTTGTTAGATCGACAACAACATCTACATTGCACACCCGCAGCTCTTGACATTCTGGTCCCCTTGTCCAATAATTGTGCTGTGCTTCTTACCTTCAGCACAGACCTGCGACGTCCCTTGACGAAGTTCCTTATCAGCTGAACTTGAATACAATCATTAGGAACAGCACTGCGCGAGTTATGTAGTGGGTCAAAAACTCATCTTGCCCACAGACGTACTGCTTTTCTTGTCAAGTGGGCAGATCACATTCTTAAGGGCCCCTCCTTCGCTTTCAAACGCGGGATCCATTTCTTTTTACCCTGTTTATGTTATCGTTTGTAAATCTTACCAGAACTGGACCATGAGGCACAAGGGGGAACTCATACACAGTCTAATGAAGTATTTACAGATCATTCCAACTGTCAAATACTTTTGCCCAATGACATAGTGCAGAGTGCTCACGCTTAACAACTCGCGTTTGCGTTCCAAACCCCTGCATGAATGTCTCAGATCAGGCGGATTTCATTACAGGTAAATACTAATGCGAGGACCTGCAGAATCCGTAGCTAGTTTTTACTTTGAAGGGTGTTTTGTGGAGTCTCGACTGAGAAGATTGCATTTGTTGTAAAAAAAAATAATAATAATAAAGAACATTTAATCCTAGTTCCCACTCCACTACTTCCGTGTTAAACGTTATCGTAAAAGATCATACATTTATAGGATTTGCAGAACATATACTGTTATATATATATTATATATATAATATAACCTCTCCTGATACCTTTTGCACTTTTAATAATAATAATAATAATAATAATAATAATAATAATAATAATAATAGCCTATTACCGCTACTGAATTTTGTTCTAAAATCTTGTGAAAGATGTAGACATGATGGTCTTCAGTTCAACCATTAGAAGGAGAAAATACGGGGGGAATCGTGACATCTGAGTGAAAGTAATTAGTGCTCTTTCTATTAAACAAATGGGTTTAACATTTATTTGGGGCGTTTTTTTCTTCTTCTTCTTTTTATACCAAATTCTAATTCGGATATTTAATGCGTACCATTGCCTATAATAGTGTAATGTTAATAAAATTACATGAGACCATTCACTACTTTTATTTTCGTTTAGGCCTAATTGCTAATATAACAAAAATAAACCAATTAAAGATTTGGAATTAGGATATTAAGGGGAAAAAATATTTTATATTTTTAGTGATTACTAATTTATTGAGTTTTTGTTTGCTGCGTAACGTTGGAAAGCACACTTTTAAAATCATCTTAACTTATGTCGGACGTTTTACGATTGGAGTAACTCCTATTTCCCAAACCAATATATTGCACGTTATGAAAGCATTTAGAGATTTAATAAGGCCAACTTATTTCTGAATTTTAGACTATTAAATATAATTGATTATGAAATAATTGTTTGATAAGACAGACTTTTAGCCTATAAATATCAGTGCTTAATTAACTACATATTAATGAAAGGGCTAACTGTCTGTACTACTTGTGACTGCCATTATGCAATATGCAATGAAACAGACAAAGTTATACCTTAAGTCAGGCCTGTCACGTGGCATGCACAGACTGCAGAATTTCATTGTAAAGGTGATGTAACGATTCTCGGAAGTAGTGCACATTGGCTTTGCAATTATCAACATGCATCAGTTTATTAATCTGCCATAAATTCTTGTGATACGCTGAAAGCAAAGACCATTTACGTCTTTACTGTTCTGAGACTATGCATACTTGAATAAATATTAGGCTATTATTATTACTATTATTATTATTATTATTATTATTAATAATACTAGTAGTAGTAGTAGTATGCTATTAAGGAGGAATAAATGTGGAATTATAACGGATACGATCTGCTTTAATAGTGTAATAATGTAAACAGTACAGTTGGTTGAACGCAATCAGTCTATTGATTTACATACATAATTCATATGTATTAAAGAAACTGTAGCGAACCGAATAGAATGAGCATAATGATTTTGCTGATTGTCTCTATTATTGACTTATTTACTCTTTAGTACTGTCTGAAAACAATTGATCAGAAACTGTAGCTATATGGTTTGAGCAAATGCTCATAAAATTCGTTTACAAAAATAATTTCGGCAAATGTGTTTAAACGTTATGTTAACAAAATGTGTGTTCTTCCGTATGGCTTGATCATCGTCACCTGACAGGATTGCAGTAGTTCACCTGAGTTTCCATGTAAACTATGCATAAATTTAGTAGCTATATATATTCAGTATTCATTTATTATTTGAATCTCCCACCACCTTCAGTTCACCTCACCTCCTGTGTATAAGCATAAAAGATCACACTCAATACAATAGGTCGGCAAATGTGTTTAAACGTTATGTTAACAAAATGTGTGTTCTTCCGTATGGCTTGATCATCGTCACCTGTCAGGATTGCAGTAGTTCACCTGAGTTTCCATGTAAACTATGCATAAATTTAGTAGCTGTATAAATTCAGTATTCATTTATTATTTGAATCTCCCACCACCTTCAGTTCACCTCACCTCCTGTGTATAAGCATAAAAGATCACACTCAATACAATAGATATCTATCTATCTATCTATCTATCTATCTATCTATCTATCTATCTATCTATCTAATCATTCATTCGGTAAATGGTATAGTTTATTTACTCGTCTTGTAAATCTGCAGTTATGTTGGCAAGGCGATAAAATATTAAATTTCTCACGGAAGTCGTATTTACGGAATACAGTCAGCAGAGTTTCACTTTGCATTCAAATACCAAAAGAAACGTATATACATTGTATATACGATGTTTATTAATTTTATTGAGCATGTAAGATATAACAAACAACGATCTGATAATTTTGGATTCAAATATTAACCCAAATATTTCGATTATAATTTTGTTATTAATTTTGATTGGATCTTTGTTTGTCTCTTGTGAAATGTGCGGTTTTTCATAAAAGTGAACGAGACATTGACAATCACAGAGCTACAACAATAATAATAATACGACAATAATAACAATAACAATAATAATGTTTTCCCATGTAATGTAAAGACTAACATCTAACAAATGATTCGTATTTTCAACCATAAATGTTACGTTTATTTAGTGGAGTTGTGAAAGGAAAGGAGCATGTTGCTGAAACAAGCAAAACTTTAGCTGAGGGTAACATTCTTGTAGATGTTTTCATTCTGTCAGTGACCACCAACTCGTTTGCCACTATACATCAAAATAGGAACAATTGCACTCACCTATTCAAGTTTACATGAGATGAACAGGCATCATGCAGTACTTCATATATTATTAATGACTTGCTTCTGTCAAATTCATCGAAGAGCACAATTAAGAAGTGACATCCAACTAATATTTGATTGTGTTTCGTGTGGCTTCATTCTGACCAGCAGACACCAGAATTTCAAGTTCTACATAATATAAATTGGTCGACTGCATTATTTAGTCCGTATTAACAACACAGTTCCATTTTGCATTTTACCTGTCACGCAACACTCCAACACCATCATCATCGTGATCATTATCTGGTATTATAATAGTTACGAATGAGGTTGGAGAATCAGCCAGCGTTCGCTCACACCCCAGTGTGTCTCAAAGCAGCAGAGCAGCCAACAGCACACACCATTGTGCAGTTAATGAGTTCTCATTAAACCATCACAAAGGTAAGATTTTTTTTTGTACAAACATATGAATAATACCTGTAAATCTGAACGTCAGCATGCATTTTAATGTTCATGTGATGCAGCTTATATGTGTATAGCTCTGAGATAGCCTAAAGACTGCCAAACTGAGGCCGTAGTTGTAGAAATGAACAAACGGTTGCGAAGGATATTTTTAGGAACTATATTGTCTAGAACACGTTTTCAGGTTCAACTTTGACAGCTTGTATTGTGATTTGAAAGTGGTGAAAGCATATGAAGACAGAGAGTCCCTTGTCCCATTTGTGCTGTTGTGAGTTGTCCCCCCGACTCAGGACCACCAGAGATGAGTCACTTCCAATGTGCTATGATAGAGAAATCAGCCATTAGAAGGTGATTCCGTTAAAACAATAACAACTCCGCCATCGACACAGAAACTAAATTAGCTGCATTTTAAGTCGGCGGTGTTCACGTGAAAGTGCCTCATCCATCGTTTCCAAACAAGATTTTTCCATTATCCGTTCTGACATTAACCCACAAATCCCCACCACCACACAATATTGCACGTTGCATACTTTCTACTGCATGTCCATATCACTGTTTAATGTCTGTCGAGCAGATCAGTCATCATTTCTGTATCATTTAATTCGGTTTAACAAGTGAACATTTACAGGACAGCGATGCATTCATATCGCGTAAAATGCACTGAAAAGAGGTACCGGTGTGCAATTGATCTGAAACAGCTTCTCAATAGAAATGCAAGCAAATGGTTGAACTAATAGCTTTTAAAACGGATGTCAACACAGGCGGCACCAAAATAATTAAATAATTGCTCAAATCAGTCAAACCTAGAAGCTAAACATTAGTTCAACTAAGTCGTTTTATTGATAACTTATACATGGAATGCATTAATTACTTACCTTGGACAGCCCCGTCTCTCCCTCCCTCCCTCCCTCCCTGTCACACTTCCACGTTTGCTCTCCAGTCCTCCTCCCCTCCCACTCCCCACTCCCCACTCCACTTTCGGCTCTCCGTCAGTCCGCGCGCCGCGCAAGGGAGAGATTGAAAGTGACACACTCACATTGTTGCTTTTGAGATTTTACGCCGCTGTAATAGGTAATGTCCGCATCGCACAAAGCAGATACTTGACGTCTGTTTTAGCTTGGTTTCTCTTTTTGTGCATGCAGCAACATAGATGGACGTTTTCAGATTTTGATGCTCTCTTTGCGCCCGCTGCTAAGGTTTTCAGTTCTGCCACGGACACTCGTTTGACTCAAACTCGCGGTAAACGGTGACAAGGTTCTGTACTGCCGGAGAGATTGTCGTCGGTCGCTTCTCGGAACTTCTCGGATCTCTGTGCTGTGTTCATTCTCGTGCACTGTCCTCTCTCTCTCTTTTTCTCTCTCTCTCTCTCTCTCTCTCTCTCTTCATGCTGTCTATCTCCTGCTACCTGTACCCCTCAGCTCGGAGTCTCTCAGTTCCAGCGGCTCAGTCACAGCGCACAGAGCACGGAGCCGAAGTGTCCAACACCGAACCCACCGAACCCGACCGTATTTAGTCCTCCGCGAGGCAGCGGGAAGCCCAGCCCTGGATTCAATACTTGTAATCAATGGACAGAGCCCTCTCAACGGCCAACCGAGGTACCGACACGCCATAAGCAGTAAGTTCAACAGAAAATAACTTTCGTCTTCTTTCATCCGATGCTTCCCACATTACTGCTACTGTAACACCTGTTGGGGAACTTTGTAGCATTTCAAATCGAACTAACCATTCTGAATACAGTTGAACATAAATGTTGTGTTTGAATATAAGGGGTAAATTCATTGAGGCCTTTATAAAGAAAAATATATAGGCCCATTAAGCAGTTTAGAAGGCCATGGATGTTTTACATATTCCCACTTAAAGCGTGCTTCTCCAAGACACGTGCAGCACTTTTCTCACGTTTTTAACCCTTTTTTTTAATGAGTAAACAATGTTGGTGAAAGATAAAAATCTTTGATAGTGACTGACGTTGAATAAGTAAAATGCAGAATGCAGCGGACGAGGGGGAGACTTCTTTTGATATTCACCAGAATATTAATGTTTTTATTAAACAGTTCAATAATAATACTAATTAAATATGTTTCTGTAAAAGATTTATTTCAAGTATAATTGCAATACACGAATAATAGCATCGTGCAATTACCTTTAATTAATTACAAACCTCAGAAAAGTTCCGAACAAGAGCACCAGAGTCATGCACCTTGTGCACTGTCGATCGAGTGGAAATTTTAATAATGGTGTTTCTTTTGAAGATAGTTGATATATTCGGTTAAAGTTAAACCATTAATTTAATGCACATGTCGAGATTCTCTAATAAATTATTACTCTTTACTGACGGGTGCGTTTCAAAGCGTTGTAAAGCCCTTGAGGTGGAGCTTGTTTAAAAAAATGATTTTAAGCTTTTATATTTTTACAAATATAAAACTAGCGAAATAATGTAAAATTATTAGACATTCTGAAAACATTTTTGAGTGGAAATGCTGTTTTTACTCCAGCCCCAACCAGATTAGGCCTCACGTTTAGCTTCACACGTGTTTGACTTTTATTTCTGTGGTCTCAACGCCCTCACGATGTGTGTGTGTGTGTGTGTGTGTGTGTGTGAGTGTGATGGGCATTTTCAGACGTTATTTTATTTATTATATTTTATTATTATTTTTTTTTTTATTAATCTGAGACTTGATTTCGAAAATGTTATGCTTGTTGTATTATTTTGTAAAATAAGTGAAAGAAGACCAAAACAAAAACAAAGCTATTATTCTGTGCAATGTGTCAAATAATTTTCAGCCTTGAGGAACTGACGCTTATGATATGTTTACCCGCAAAACTTTTTTCCATTTAACAATATTGTTATTGTATTGCTGTTTTTTTCCCTGTTGTTTAAGAATGTTGTCAAATGTGGTGGCATAGCCTACATTAAAATATATGTATGTATGCAACATAATGTTTCATGTTTTGTAAAGCTCCGTACTTTTTTATTTTAGGTAGGCTACCTCACGTTTTTAAACAATTGCTAGGCTAATTGAGTATTTATTTATGTATTTATATTTTTATGAGAGAAACAACCTTTATAGGAGAACTTGAAGCAAAAGATCGGGCATGATATTATGATCGTTTTATTTAACGAAAATTACTGATACACTCTTCTGTTTCGATCAAATTAAAACTGATTAAATTCTATTAAATTACATTTAGCATTTATTTTAATTAAATTATTATTTTAAAAAGCTAGTCTGGAAACTCTATAAAGATAGTCATTTGGGTGTACGGTTAGACATTCACCACAGAATAAATCAGAATAAGACAACAAGAACATGCATTTTTATTACTATCTGATAGTTTCAAGATATTTACATTTCTTAAGTTAGACATAATTACAATGCGACGAAACCTGTGACCTGCGTCTGCTTCAGTAGCAGGTAGTCGGAATGATTTGGGCGCAGAATACTCGTTAAAAAGTCAGAGATCTCATGTCACTCTTTTCCACTATCAGAAAGCACAATATTCCTCTTTAAGAGTACACATCTTTGATGTGAGAGTGAGAGCCCTTTTCCTTACAGAGCCCGTGGATTTCGCTTTAATATAAGGATGATGGAAGTGAACCAAATCGTCTTTGCTAGAAGCCAAAAAAAACCCCACTCAGAATTAAGTAATGAAATCGCTATCCCTCTGTTGTCGAAAAAAATACACATTACATGGAAATGGAATCACAATCCAGAAGACAGTTGTACTCTTATTAGACTCTGAACTCTGAAATAGCCTAAATAGCTCAATTAAAAAAAGAAAAACACATGCCGAGTGCACATGATTTGTTATTATATTACATGCGATATTTTTCCCCTGTCAGTTCAAACTCCGAGTTATGTATACATCACTTTAAAACTTTACAGCAATGTATTTGAAGAGTCACTCACAAAATCATGCCTGTGCAAGAGGGGAGGTATGGTTGCTATATAGCTGCCATCAGCGGTAGAGATCATTCTGTTTCTTTTTAAAGTTACATTGATGTATCCATTATTCATTTGCACAAACTTGGCCCCCATAGCCAACGGAGACGTTTTCTTAACCAGGACCAAAAGGAAAAACAAAATGTTAATTAGTCTCCGTAACAGAGAGGCTCTATACGTCTCAGTAATTTTGCAATAGATGGAAGCCTCTGAGGATACTTTAATCTCGCGCTTTGGGGAGCCCATCAGAATGGATCAAATCCAGCATTTATTCACGGCATGTTTTCTCCAGCCCTACCTTCAGGGACTTCAGGGAGAGTTCAGCGCCAGATCATTTTTACTTTAGCCTATACTTACAATACCTGTTAATTATTTTGCTTAATATATAAGACATTGTCGTTATATCTCTATGGAGGGCGGGTGCAGTTTTTAGGTGCCTAGAAATGTCAGAAAAAAATCTAATTGGCCTTCACGCAGCGAGCAGCCCCTTGAGCCTATATTGAAAATATAGCATTGCCTTATAGCTTTAATAAAAATGTTTCTTCGTAATACTGATATTTCACGACATTTCAGTAAAGCCTTATGCAAATATCTGAAACGTCATTCTTCCGCTGGAAGATATAGTAGTCGCTGACAGGTTAAACTGGCCCATGGGTGCCGCACAGTGATTCACAGATGTACATTAGTGAAGGTAACAGGTGTTTGTGTCATAGCTGTTTTTATATTGAGTATCTTAGCAGAATTGGAACACTGTACCGGCCGAGCAGCTCGCTGGACCAAACCTATTCTTTTAGTAGAATAGGTCTAATATTATTTAGCCGCAAATAGCTCGTCAAGGCCTACTAGCTTGCATTTGAACGTGACAAATGAATTTGGCTTTTTTATTTATTTATTTTTAATTTTAGCACTATTATTATTTTAAATAAACAACTACAACTTTTTTATCCTCAGTAATTTTATTTAAAGTAGATTTATTTTTCAAAGTCTGTTTCTGGATTGCCTACATCAAGTAGGCTATCGTTATTGCCCATGGAAAGATACCGTTCATGCAGTTCATTTCAGACTATATGTGGGAAAGTTGTCACAGTTAAAGCTGATGTTAAGCACCCGATCAGCTAACTTTTTAGTTTAACTATCAGTTAATTTTTTTTAGTAAAATTCAAACAGTAAAACCATAATAAAACACAAACAATTCTCGAAACAGCACAAATGTAAAAATGAAAATATCAAGTTATTGTTTTGGCCAACAAATATTTAATAAAGAACATTTTTTTATTTATAATTTTTTTTACATATGAAAACTTGAAATGTATTATAGCCTTCTAGTCCTGAGACCACAGCTCAGGCTTTTGCATAAAATCTGTCATTATGTAGTTGACTCTTGCTTGAATATGCAAGTATGGTATTGTTGTGTGTATCAAAAGCTTTTTGAAAGTCTGGTGAACAGAATTTACAAAAATATTCAAATTTAGGAGAGTTTTGAACTAGGTGTTTAAAACCTTACAAAACCATTGCAAGAAAAGAAGAAAAGAAGAAAAGAAGAAAAGAAAAAAATTCCTTGTGACAACTTCCCTGTGTGACAGCTATAGCCCTTATATATATTTATATTATCAAACCATTTAACACTACATACCTAATTCCAAACCGCAGTCACTGACTCTGTGTGTGTGTGTGTGTGTTCATGTGTGTTTTATAGCCCTGCTCAGTGTAGTCTACCATGTGTGATTTTTGTGAGTCAATGTGTGGTCCCTGGAAGTGTCAGAGCAGTGAGCCTGCTCTGTGGTTTCTGTGTGTTGAATGTGTGTGTACACTTGTGTTTGTCCGTTTTTGTCTATGTGCGAGTGAGAGAGCAAGAGATTTAGGGAGAACATCATAAACTGCTGCTCACTCTTTATCTTTTACTGATGTTTATAAGCAAACTAAACGTGCTCCCCGGAAGATCCATTGCACCCTCTCTTCGTGTCTGAATCGACATATTCTCTGCACATGACCAGTACATTTACACACTCACCCACATTATTGCAACTGTATTTCTTACTTTTTCTCAAATCAGTAATATGAACACTTTTTCCCTTCTATCTAACATGACATGACTTTACAGCTTAGGTATATGTCTCATTGCCTCAATGTCAAGTGTATATTTTATTTAATATATTCATAAGAGATTTATGAATATATTTATATATATATATATATATATATATATATATATATATATATATATATATATATATATATATATATATATATATATATATAGTATATGTATGTGTATATTTACACATACATCCAAGGAAGTCCCAGTATCGAGCTTGTCTTACTATGTATATTTCCACTGTAATCATCTGTCTTGGTTACAGTTTGATCTGCCATCAAATTCATGGGTGATAAGCTGCTAGCTATCTATTCTTCCCTTCCCAACGCACACACCTGTGAGACACTGAGGGGCCTTTAATACGAATCCCTCAACCATCTTCACCTGCTTTATCTGTACCCTGACTGAGCTGATGCTTTAATAACCCTGCAATAAATGAGTATCACAGCCCTATTCCCTGGTCAATAAGGTTAACGCCTTAACATGTTGTCAACACAAAGATACCATGATACCACCAGGTTCTGAACAACACACAGCTTTATCTCATCGCTCATTTGCATGCGTGTCCCTATTAGTTGTTATTAACTGTTGTCGGGTAAAGGGCTTACTTTGAGTTGGAAACAAGCAAGAAATTGGACACTCTTGTCCTGCCAAACAATCTTTTCCATACCTAATTTGTGAAATTGCTTTTTATGCCATCTTTGTAGTCAACATTTCTCCTTCTCTTTTCCCAACCTTCTGCCTTTTTTCTCAGTGTCTCTCAACATCGTTCTCTTCTCTGTGTATACTGACTGACAGTGTGAGCATAGTCAGATCAGCAGGGTGTTGTTTACTGCCCTCAGTTTCCTGTGTGTGGTACAACTGGCAGAGGCCACTCTCATTGCCAAAGAAAAGAGTGCAATGTGGAGGGGAGAGGAAGATTAGCAGAAAACGTATATCGCATGCTTAGGAGAGAGTCTCTGCAGTGTGGTCGTCGTAGTTTGGAAATTTGAGTCTCATGGGATTGGAGTTCTGTTCCACTCCCTCGTCTGGCTTCTCTCATCTACCCCTAAACATAACAATCATTAGTTATGTTTGTAATGTGTGGCTGCAAGCATTACAAATTAAAATGGAACCGTGTATCTGGTTGTGAATACCTGTTGGAGCAACACTGAAATGTAAGGTGCTGTGTATCTTTCATTTAGTATGTATGCAAATTTATAATTGCTGTACTATTTTAAATGCCATAACCTCTTCTGTATTTCTTAGTGCTTCCTGCTATTAATCACCTTACTGTAAGCAATTTCTTAATCTTGAATCAAGATCTAGCTTTCTTTTTTTAATCTTCATAATCTTTGTTGATTATTCTTGATAACTTGCACTGATTAGACATTTATCTCTATTTCTAACTGATGCCAACCAGTTGGAAGAACAGGACTTAAACAAGACCAATCACACTTTTATGATGACTGTAAATTAAATAGTTCACCTAAACTCTGTCACCTTCACGTTGTCCCAAACTTGTATGACTTTCTTCCTTCTGTCGAACATAAACATTTTTTTTAGATATTGTTCAAAATATCTTCTTTTGTGTTCTACAAAAAAAGCCAAAAGTCATGTTTGGAACAACATGAGGGTGAGTAAATTAATATAAATTGAAACTACAGTGGCAGAGTTCTTTTATTAATAACTGTCCCATTTATGCTTTATAATCTTCTAATGGTTTATTTGAATTTAGAAATAAATAAATTAGTAATTTATCTCCAGTCTGTTGATGAAATAGAGGATTACACTCTCTGTTGGTAAAGCTTTTATGAAGCGGACTCACCATTAGCTCAGCAAAATCTGGATGAGATTTTGTGGTGCTGAATTACAAGACTTTTACCAGCATAATCACACAATATCTTTCACAGTATCACATTAGTCTGTTGCAAAAGTATCCAAAGTACTGTATCATAATTATAAGTGTACCTCTTCAATAGGCTTGTATTGATTTGTTACAGCAGGTGTGTATTGACCAGAAGAAACTTTTACAATGCCATCTTTGCATAGCCACTACCATCTCCATACATGAGTGACGGCAGACAAACTGGAGCTGGTTTTATCTCCCCATCAAATATTTGCCGGGGTGGAGAAGGATCAGAAAGATAAAGAGAGAGCGAGAGAGATTAGCATAGAGATGAGAGAAGAGATTCAGACAAGGTCTTGATTGGGATCGGAAGACTCATTAAAATCAGGCAGGTTTGGACCTGTGAAGGAAGGAACAAAGACAACCTATTAGTGCCAGATGAACTAAGATAAAAGATAAAAGACTTTACAGTGCGAATGGTAGGCAAACAGATGAAAAGCTCTCAGCGTCACTAATGGCAATGAACTCAAGTACAATGACCATTGTGTCCTTTTGCGGTTTCATCCTTCATATTTCTCGTTTGGCTCAGTGCAAGTATCTGAAACATCTCAAGACACTTTTTTGTGAAGAGATTTTATTTTACCCCTGGGATTGCAAGTCTAATGGGCAAGCCTGCATCGTAGACGAGCTGTTAATTAAAAGCAGATCTGTTCGCCTCATACAGTTAAAGTGGATCACAGTGATTTTACACATAGCAGCGGGTTGTATCTGTTATATTTTAGGATCTTATCCTCTATTGTTACTGAGGTGCAGTGTTTTCAAACTTTGTGCCATTTTTTAAAACTTTGACATGACGGGCACAAATAGAAATGAGAAATAATGGCTGCATGTGCACTGGGGGAATATCAGTTTTAATTGGAAAGCTGTGTTTAAAGGGTGCTATTAATTTTGTATATACATGCGAGTGTGTTTTCATAAGCATGCATGTCCTTTGTTGTAGTGTATTGTTCACACTTGAGCTCTATTAAACTGTCTCAAAGGCTCTGTGAATCTCTTTCCTCTGTGTGTGTGTGTGTGTGTGTGTAAGTACAGTGTGGACCATCAGTTCTTGTTCCCTCAGCAGCACACTAACACATTTCTTTCCATTCATATGCTCTTAAACTGTTTTTCCTCCCACCCGCTTATTAAACTCTAAAGAATTCAGACACTTGATTTCTGGACCCGCGTTAGGTTTTTAATCACGCAGAGGCTAATGTTTTTAATTTATTATTCATTTAGAAAATTTAGCTCCAGCTTGTAATTCTCTTTGGACTTTTTTATGTTCCATGATGATGTTTTTCTCATCAGGGCCAGAGAAAAGAATGATGTTTTCTGCATAACCACTGTGAGAAGAATAGTAGAGAGGGTGGACACATCTATCTATCTATCTATCTATCTATCTATCTATCTATCTATCTATTCGCTGGTACCTGTGATCAGTGACAATAAAGGGCTCATTCATATCTATCTATCCCTCCATCCATCCATCCCATCAGTATCCCTCTGTATTTAGGAAGTGATATGCAAATCAAAGTCTTTAACTTTTGGCATGGACTCAACAGAGTCTGGCACTGACTCTGATGGACATTACCAATATTAAAGGTTTGGCTGAAAAACAAAGACCTCTGAAAGTTATCCCCACAGAGCTCCATAGCTCAGATGAATGTTTGCAGACATCCACGTGCATTCAAAAATACTATATTTGCATGCATGCATGCACATACACATATTATTTTAACAACTTAAAGTAACTTAATAATTCATAAAAAGATTTTGAGCATCTTTGCTTTCATATATATTTGCCTAGAGGTCTGTCATTTTGGCTACACATACATATTTAAATGCACATACACATTAGTTTACATTCCCCATAGACGCTGGAGCAGAACGAGACGCTGGGCCTCAGCTTTTCTGTTTGCTGATGGTGTTGATAAGATGCCAGCGTCCTCTTGAACAATTCACTGTAGAACATAGAGTTTGATATCTATCAGGGAATCCTTTGATTTGTGAGTTTCCTGATCAAAAAACTTTGAAGAAAAATGCTAATGAAATTTTATTCTTAATTTGGATTCAGTTCTTTAAAAATTGAATAAGAACTTTAGCATTTGATTAGTTTTAGGGTTTATTGGAACCAAATGATGAATTATCATGGTTATGGTGAGGACACAATTTTTTTTGTTTTTTTAAATATACCATCATATATATATATATATATATTTTTTTTTTCAGTTTTTGCAATTTTAGTAATGTGCTTTTGTTATTTTTATTAGTTTTTGTAGATTTTCATTTTTTATTTTTCCATTTTGCATTAATTTATTTTTGTTTTAGTTTTCATTATTTTAGTACATATATATATATATATATATATATATATATATATATATATATATATATATAAAGAATGCACTGTTAAGCATTGTTGTGGTATTATTTTGTATAACAGATTGACTTATTATTTTGGTTATTGAATATACAATTTATGATGTTCAGAAAAAAATACATGCATTAATATTGTATTGGCTGTGTTTTCATTAGGTCTCCCTCTCTCTTTGTCTCAGGTCCTTATCCTCTGGCTGGTGTTCGCCCTGTAGTGTGGAGGGGGATGGAGCGTTGCGGAGGAGAGAGCCCTCGTTTACGGGAGAGCCCTGAGCGACGTGGGAGCAGCAGTCCTGATATTGGCAGCCCCCCACCAAAGATGGGTCGTGTGGAACTCAACGGTAGTCCCACAGGTCACCGCAGTCGCCACAATGGGGCCCCACAGAGACCTCTTGGCGGTAAGACACTCGCAACTTTTACTGTATGTACACTTGTTATATATTTTTTTTCCTTGAGTGTTTCCTCTTTTATTAGTTGTATGTTGAAGAAAGACCACACACTAGCACTGTGGCTTAGTGTGCCTAAATTCTAGCCACTACACCACTGCTTTAAAAAAAATATATTTTTTTAATTAGTGAGAGAACTATTATAGAATAAAAAAAAGAATAAACATTAAAACAGCACATTTAGCTATGCAGTTTGCCTGGTTCTATCTAATTTATCTGACATTAAAAGATCCAGCTCATTGTGCGTGATGCAGATCAGTTTAATCCCATACACCATTTTAGTTCTGCTCACAGGAGTGTTGTGGCCACTATAAGCTCAGTGAATTAAGTAGCACCATATAGACCTGATTTATTCCTCTTGGCCAGTTATTGATTGCAACAGTACTGTGTGTCAGAAGGGGGGCCATATTGATTAAAGAGACCCCAACAAATTGCCACATACAGTGGTGTGGTCACAGCTGTGATTATTGAATGGCTTTAAATATGTTTTTACACATGGGTAGTTGAGACACAACTTTTTTATTCAGCATCAAGGTTTTCACCAAAAAAAAAAAAAAAAGGCAAGTCAGATATCGCAAATTTTGCATCTAGACAAGTTTATTTATTTGGCTTGCAAATAGAGTGGCATGCAAGTTGAATGGTAACTACCATTCAAAAGTCTCAAAAGATATGCTCTTTTTATATTATATGAAAATTCAGCTTTGCCTTCACAGGAATAAATTGCATTTTAAATATATTAAAATAGAAAACACTTTTTGAATTGTAATAATATTTCAAAATATTAATTTTATTATTAATATTAATATTAATAATTTTCTGTATTTTGATCAAATGAATGCTGCCTTGGTGAGTATAAGAGACCTCTTTCAGTAATTCAATTTAATAATTATATAATCATACCAACACAAAACTTCTGAACGGTAATATGTATGTATGTATGTATATATATGTGTGTGTATGTGTGTGTGTGTGTGTGTGTTTGTGTGTTGTTTATATAGTTTATATAGTTTTAGATATATTGTATACCATACTGCAGGATACTGCTTTTACTGCTTCAAATATCATATCAATGACCCGCATACAGTTAAACATGACGTGGTCCTGACAGTAAAGCAGTTACACATTTTTCTCTAAGGAAACATACAGTCTGTGTCCAGTAACACACAGCCTCAGCAAAATATTCTATCATCCCTCACACTGTTTCATTCCTGATGTTATGGATTGGGGCAAAATGTCACCAAGGTCAAGCTGTAATTAACCTTGACAGTGAACAATGTGTGTAGCCAATCATAAAGCCACATATCAGATATAGATTAGATATTTTTAGAGGCCAAGACCTTAACAACATATACTGTGAGTTTGTTTGTGATTGTGTGTATGTGTGAGTATGACTTGCTGTACACATCTAAAGCAGATTTGATTTGACACAATATCTAAGAAGAAGATTTTTTTTTGGAATAGGTAGAAGAGGAAAGTAGCAGGGCTTTCTCTTCCTGTACCCTGCCAGATGGGCCAAATGGTTAGTTTTAATCAGAGGTTGTCTTGAAACAGTCTTCTCCAAACCACAATGGAACACTAAAGAGTGGGCCACACACATATCAGACATGGACTCACTCAGAATCACTCAGACACATGCCTGCATTGCTAACTTGCTTTTTTTTTTTAAGTATCTAAAGCAAGATGAATTTCCTCTTAAATTTGCATAAGGCATTAACACTGGTTTTCAGAAAATATAGTTTAAATTAAGTTTGTGTTTTACCCCTTACGCAATTTATTAATGTTAATTCAAGATATATTTTATGAAAAGTCTTTTGTTCTTATATTATTATAATAATAATTATTATTATTAACTAAAGATTTTGCTTCTCAAGTTAATGTATCTTATTTTCAGGCTGTTTAGCTATTCTTTCTGAGAAACAAGATAAAAATGCTGATTTATTCATTTATTTTATTTTTATTTATTTATTTATTGCAGTATGTTCTTTGTTTCTATATTTCATTTATATAGAGTTTAAAGCAAATAGTCAGTGATTATGGTTATAGTATAGTCTACAAATATGCTTACAAGTCTACAAGCCATATAACCCTTATAACTTCAAAATTCATGCATACGTCTAAAAAAAATGCTCAGGCATTAAACCACATTTAAAGACATCAGTTCATTAAAACAGATAATCAAAGAGACACAAAGACTTACTCAGAGTGAGCATTGCTCAGCAATGAAACATTCACACGCACAAAAAATTTGTCAGACACAGGCTTCACACACATGCTGTTATCTTATGATGAAACCGTGCTCATACAGGGTACAGGGATGAGCCCATGGGAGCTAGCGGAAGAAAGAGAGAGGGAGAGAGAGACTGCTGGGAGCTGCTGTGTGTTGACAGTTATATTTCCCTGTTGGGGGAAATTCACTTACTTGAATTGGCACCGGCCCCTGGCCTGTAATTCACTCCATAAGAGCATTCTGAACTGGAAGCCAGGGTGATTAATGGAAAGGAAATAGAAATATAGGAATTGACTGATTAAACCAAGGGGCTCTGGGAGCTGTGTGTGAATGTATATGTATTTGCATGGAAGTGTGTGTGTGTGAATTAGGAGCGAGTTTTGTACTGCTCTGCTTTTATTAGTACAACTGGGATTTTGCCTAATGCTTTCAGCCTATCATTTCTAAGGGGTATTAATTAATAGTCAGAAGGCTTTTGAGCACTTCAGGGAAATTGAAAAAAACCAATGGATAGGTTAGGCCTAGATTAACCAGAGGAAGCTTGGGTGGGATGTGTGTTTTTCAGGCATCATTAGGTACTGCATACTATTTCTCAACAAGCTGTGAATGACTATGCATCTCGACATCCCATTAAAAGATGGGACTCTGTACCCACCGAATCACTTGGGAACATATTTTACGGATTAATCATAAATGTTTTCAACTAAAATGTTAACAAAATCAACACTACTAAAATGATGTGTTAAGTTACAACGCAATGAGCCGTAACCTCAAACACTGAAGGCAGAAAGGTTTGCATATCCGTTGGAGGCTCATGCAGCTAATTTTATTAAGTGACGCAACACAGTCCGTTGACTTGAGGAGATATCAGCTCAGCTGCCCTGACAAAGTAAAGGGAGGCACCATAAAAAAATGATAGCTTTAATGGAGTATAACATAGCTGGTTTGATGGTTGGTTTGATACACAATCTGAACGGTTTGTTCATGTTGACTATTTGCATTGGGCTAGGAAACCTGGGACAAGCGATTGACCCTGGCCACCTTATTCAAATGCAAGTAATGAACCTATTAATCATTAATGATTTCTAATGAAAACACTTCTCTTGTGAACAGCACGTGGCGACTATTCAAAATAATGCCACACTTCATTTAGAAATAGAGTTGTGAATTTGTTGAATAGTTTAAAAAAAATGTAGAATATCAGCTCAGTCACTGGACTTTCTTTTTAATGAATATTCAGTAATTCAGCTCTTCTCTCTTGACCATTGTTTCACTAATGTTTTCTATACCGTGCTACTTTACTGTATTGCAGGTCTGATGATTCCAGTCTTCTGCGTAGTGGAGCAGGTGGATGGAGGGATGATATCAGATGGAGAGAGCCGGGAGGAACATGCAGAGTTTGTGCTGGTCAGGAAAGACATCCTTTTCACTCAGCTGGTTGAGACTGCACTTCTTGCCCTTGGCTACTCCCACAGTTCTGCAGCCCAGGCACATGGTGAGTTCAACATTGTCCCAGACTCAGAGTTCATGCTCAAAACAGTTAATGAATCTTAAATTTCAGTAAAATAAATAATAAATAAATAATGACTAGAACTTCACTTTTCCAGTTTGACAAACCAGAACAATATCAGATATTTTAACGTTTATCTTGATGTAATATTTAAATGAGCTGCCAAATGTTACACAAAAGTTCCTTTTTTTAAAAAGAAAAAGGAAGTGTGCTTAATTGTATTGAATGTGCACGTAGTAGTGTAATTTAAATATCTTATAATGTGTAAAAAAGTTTTTAAAAAAAGCTGTAATATAATCTCAAGGAAATAAAAGGCCACTTGATTGTATAACTTAAGTGTACTTAAAGTGTACTTTTAACTCTTAAGTGCACTTTTAAAACAGTGCACTTTGTAATCATGTGAAGTTAAAATGTGTACATTTATAAGTGAAGTAAATTCATTATCAAAATCATTATGTTTTAATAAACCTTTGTTGAGCTTTAATAAGTACACTTATTGATTACCATAATAGAGCTGTATTATAATATTATTATTATTTTTTTTTTTTTATCTGTAGTGTTTTATTTGATGTTACATTTAAAATGAATATTTTTTAAATGTACTAATTTGCATTCAATATAAATTATATTAAAGTGTATTGTAGTTTACCATAAATGCTTGTCAGTACATTTGGCACTACACTTTAACCATATTTCAAAGACAGTAGAAGTAATTATGAAATTACACATAAAAATGTACTTTATTATCAACTTAAACTGCAAAATCAAAATTTAAGTTGCAATAAAATGCAATCAAGTATCCGAAAACTTTACATTCAGTACTTTTAACTTTACATCCAATTATTTTAAATTATATTATTTCCATAATAAGTACTCTTTTTAAAGTATTTTCAAAAGATGCACATTAAAAAAAAAAGTTAATTCATAATACATTAACCATAATAATTTAGAAATTAAAATGAATCTATATTTGTAAATGCTGTAAAACATTTGGTCACTGTTAGATTGTGATACCTAATGCATTAATTAATGTTAATGAATTGAAACTTATTGTAGTGTTATGAAAATTCTGATGTAACTGGATTCCTGAATTAGTGTACAGTAGTGTGGAAAGCACACTATGTACAGTATGTATTGCACAATATGCAGTAAGCAATACACTTGTACTCAATTCCTTTACAGTTCAATGCGATTAGAGTACCATGGAGTGCAGAGAGGAGGTCCGGCTGTTGAGATGTTGACAGGAGGATGTACTGTTTTGGGCTAATGTGTCTGAGAACACTGAGGAGGAAGGGCATTTGTTCAACATTACTGAATCACAGACAGTCTGAAAATCTCATTAAACAAGAACAAAGGAAATGGCGAGGCAAAGAATACAGTATTTTCATGTCACAAAAAGATGCGTGTGAACCGTATTTGTGTGTATGTGGTAACTTTGTGGGAATGCATGTTTGTGTCTGCTTGAGGTCTTTATACTCTCATAGTATGGGTCCATTTTCTGTGTGTGTGTGTGTGTGTGTGTTTGTGTGTGTATATGGAGAATGTTTATGAGTATGTAGGCCAAAGAAGCAATATAATGCTTTACTTTATTGTACACACGAATGTCATCGCCCAGTAGAGTTTACTTGTATTCTGTGAAGTATGAAGAAAATGTAAAACAGTCATTACTTCATGTTGATCCGCGGGTAACAAAAGACATCACGATTTACTTCATAGGTTGAGCATTTGGCATTTATGTGAGCTTATTTTTTTGTAGTGTTTGTAGTCACAGTTCACGCTCTGTACGTCTGACTAGAACAAAGTTTGATGGTGCTGCAGTTTATTGAAAGTATTTTAAAATGTATTGTCAGAAAACAGAGAGCGAAAATTGAAGGCCACATTTCAACCTTTAATTAAAAGATCATTTAAGTCAGGCTGATGAAATGTCTGCTACGTTTTTGTAGTGATTGTAGTTTTTAAAATTAAATGCTGCGTGGTTGTGTTTGTGTGTGACTGCAGCTTGTTATTCATCAAAAATAATGTTAAATAAGCATTCTTTCTCTTTCTTTGACAACTAAATATACACAGTAACAAAAACAGAAAAAACTCGTAGGTCAACAACGTGTCTTTAAATTCACTCTAAGCGCCCTTTAGAGATCCCTTTGAAGAGCCAAAAACAGATCAATATGTTGCCCACACAGCGACTCAAGTCATTTGTGTAGCCTCCTAAAATACCATTATGTGCTATAAAATTAAACAAGTATGCAAATTGATAGAAGCGGCATTATGATTGGAAAGGCAAAATAGTCCTGTCTGGCCCACACAATGGCGCCACATCTGTGAGGAAGTCCCAGATGCTACTCCCCTAAACACAGAAACATAAGCGGTCACCTCTGTACAGTCGCAAAACAATATCGAAAGGACACGGAGGAGGACAGGATAACACTGCAAAACAAACCGTTTCGGCTCAATATAATCCACACACCCTCACAGTGATCAGTTCAGATGAGGCCAGATACAATAAAAGGAGAGGGTTATGGCTAAAATGACGCTCCCACACTCGCTCACACATACTAACAAGATTCTCTCATTATGAACAACTGCATTGACTTCAGTTTATTCCTTAAATGAGCAGAGAATGAGCGGTAGAATGAAAGAGATGGAGAACTCTCCTCTCAAATGAATACTTTTTGTTTTTAAAGCAAGCGTTTATGTTAAATGAATAATTTCTGGCTTAAATTATACATTTTTTCCTCTGCGGTTCACAACCAAAATTACACAGAGTCCCATCTATTTTCTCCCTGTTTGAATTGTGTCCTGCATAGCTCTCTCGTAGTGGTATATTTAAGCTCCTCTCCCAGCACCGCTGCCTTTCTTTAATTAGCCTGACCAGTAATTATCTGGGAGATATTGTTTATTTCAATTATAAGGGTCTGAGTACTTTTTTAGAATCGTATGGACAGACCTGTACTTTAAGGCTTCAGACAATTAACAGTGGTGACGGATTACAGCACGAGTGCATTGTTGTGCTGCCACGTTTGACATGCAGCCACAGCGGGTCGAACTGGGGCAGTTTGATAAAAAAATACGCTATGTTGCCTGAGAGAGCCTGGACAGTCACTTCACATACTTTGAGAAATGACAATTAACTAATTCCCACCTGTAGTGTGAACATTTGTGAGTATTCACATGTGCAGATAATGTACCTTAAAGGGATAGATCACCCAAAAATGAAGATTCTGACATCATTTACCTCATGTTGTTCCAAACCTGTATGCTTTTTTTCCATGGACAAATATAGGAGAATTTTCAAAAAATGTAGCACTGCTCATTTCCTGTTAATTTTTACTGCTGTCGTGCTTCAAAAACAACAAAAAAGCACCATAAAGATACCACTATGAACTATGTCTTATTTTTTGGTATAAAATGCAATAAAATAAAAAAACCTATCTCTGTCCTCAACGAATCCTTTAGATTTATGACCAAAGTGAGTTAGCTTTCCATCTGCCATCTGACGCACCTGGCAGCCAATCAGAAGCAAGTCAGTTTTGTCGTTATTGCCAGGGGTCTTCGATGCTCTGTCTGTTTGATCATTTATGACAGCCATACAAACTATTATGATTTAACCTCAAAATAAGATGAATCTGTCCAATCCATAAATCTATAATCTGGAGCATAGTTTCACTTCTGCATACAATATGCTCATTAGCATGGTTAAATCATTGTTTAATCAATATGAGTATTATTTCAATAAAAACAGTCTATGTTATGTTGATATTATTTCTGATGATTTTATGATCTAATGATTTCAACTGTAGATTCACTCACCTGTTAAGAAAAATAGCTAAGACCAGGATTGTTGTTGATTTATATTGAAATGTTGTTTCTCTAGCAGGTAGATCATCATAGCACAGCATAGTCTTTAAGTTGAAACTGCCTGACCAAGGGAGGCATGCTGGTTAAGCAAGTTAAAAGGATGGCTCACACAAAATAAATCTGACATCATTTACGCACCCTCATGTTATTCCAGACTGTTAGGCATTTTTCTTTCTTCTTTCAAACAACACTGGACCCCATTGCCTTTTATTGTAATACAGTATATTCTGGAAAGACAGACAGTATTGCTCAGGCCTGCCTTTCCCATTTGATTTATTAAATCTATATTGATACATTATTAATGATTTATCATAACAATCTGTGGTCTTCATGACTCATTTAGTGGGGCGTATCTTCTACAGAGCTAAGTCATTCAGAACAGCAAACATTTGGATATCAGTGCTTCTATCCAAACTAGCTCTGCAGAATAGCGTATGGGTACTAGGGAACATTTTCATACTGTGTGTGAGGTTGCGTTTGTGTGTGCGAGTGTGTATGGATGGATACACACAAGCTTTAGCTAAGCCACCAGCCGACCACATGAAAGCCCAGCATTGGGAGGAGGAATTTTAATGTGGCAATGGGAACAATGGTTTTTACTTGGGGAGGAAAATGACAAGGAACAGGAAAGGAGTCTTTCCAAGTTAAAAATGATTAATTAATGCCATTACCACAGTCTCTGTATGATGCGAGCTCATACTGTAAATAGGAATACCTTTTACCGCTTTTTATTGGAACAGAGCTCATTGCTTTTTTTCAGATTGGTTGCAGTGAGCTGTCTAACACTAAACATGTGAATTGGGTAACCTCGCTGACATTCAGCTCTTACAGCAATTGGAATGAATTACTGCTTAACTTAAAGTACATTAAGAGGCAGAGCATCTCAGTTCAGTCTTAATTGATGCTACTGCTCAAAGTCGGAATACTCAAGACGTCTACAGTGGGCATACACATACATTCAGCATTGCACAATGAGACAAAACAGATTCCCTCAAAAATCAAAGCAAAACCAGTAATATAAACAGACTTGAAAAGAAGGACAGATCTAAAGGGGGGCGTGGAACAATCACACAAATTGTCTTCATCTGTCTGACTTGCCTCTCCTCTTTAAATCACTGTCTGAAATGGGAATGCAGCTCCAAAAATACATTTAGAACAAAGACAAGAGGCCTGTATATTAGAGGATAGAAGTTCACTGTAGTTACAAAGGTCACCAGCAGGGTCGGTCCCTCTTGTAGTGGTTGTCTGGGACCCCGACTTACTGGAGGGCTTACAAAATAATCTATAATAAATTCTGACACAAGGGAGCCCAAGTGACAAACCTAGACCCTTCCCAATATAATCATTGAATTCTTCCGATAACATGAACGAAAGTAGTAAACACCTGACCATTTGCTTACACTTGACAGAAAAAGTTGTACACTGAGGCTATTTTAGCTTACCGTTTAATGTTTAAAGCACTTTTGCATGGCATAAACAGCATCTGTTAAAGCATAATTGTTGTCACGCTTTCTCAAGAATAATATAGGGACGAAATTAAAGCACTGCTGATGAGAAGTATACAGTACAAGAAGGCAAATCTGGATAAATCTACTCTTTAATATATCTGTGTATATAGTCATTAAAATATTTTTGTCTATAATTATAATTTATATAATTATTATATATTATTATTATAGAATAATTACATTCATATGTTTGAGGTGTTTTTATATATTTATAAGACCTATTTAATTTTGTGTTTTATTTATACTTTTTACATTTTTATTTTGTAACATTTCTGTATGTAATATTTTGCATTCGGTTTACATAGTTCTACATTAATTATCTTTATTTTTGTACCATTTGTCCTTTAATTTATAGGCCTATTCACTGTACATAGTTCTCAACTGTTGTTTATTTACTCTGAATCTGTTAGAATGAAGCACACAGTAATACTTAAAAGAAACTAAAAGTCTCTATCTATTATTTTATATGAAGACCATTTTTTAAACCAATGATGCCCATTTTCATAATCTAGGAGCCTAAGGCATTAGAACACACTGGCCTTGTTTAGATTCTGACACTAATAAGCTCTCACATAAGGAGCAATCAGCCAATAGTGGAAGAAAACAGTGGAATGGGTCACACAGAATGTCTTGTTATCTTCTCTCTAGTCAAAACACAAACAGTGAACTGAGAGAAACAACGGAGCCCTTGCTAATTTGCAAAAGCAGATTTTGTCCAAAACTAACTCATTCAATCAGGCTTTAGTGGCAGCAGTGGCATGGCAATACAGTGTCTGGATAGATCGGCATGTCTGTGTGTGATTGAGCAGCTGGAGCTCTTCAGATGACACAAACAGCTTAAAGCACAAAAAAGAGAGAGAGAGAGAGAGAGAGAGAGAGAGGCAGCGTCTGGGTCTCATTTAGTGGATAGTAATGTGATTAGCATTGTTTAGTTTTCACAGCTTCAGTCAGTCCCTCCTAAGACCATGGGAAATACTTTTGTGTGAGAGTTTGTGGATGTGTTTTGTATCTCTTCATGGCACACCCTTCGTTTTTGGTCAGGTTTACTTCCTGTTGTCGGATGTATTGAATATATACATTCGCGCAAGGGATGTACATTGACTGCACATGCACACGAGCAGTGCGTGTTGAAAAGTGTTTACGGACGTGTGCAGTGTTTGGAAAACGGTTAATAATGCAATGAGCAGAGGGTCCGGTTTACATGTATGCCGCATCTTGACAATGATTGCGACATCTGGAAATAAATAGAGCGGAGGGCATAATAGATTCAGCTAATTAATTTTTAATAGCGCAGTGTGGTTCTTGGGGGGGAAAATAGCACCCTCAGTAGATGCCACTGCTGCTTAGCTTTTATCCTGATCTGTTTCAGGTTCAGTATATTTTAAGGAAATACCACCACACAAATTTAAAGGGATAGTTCACCCTAAAATGAAAATTCTACTAATTTACTTTCACTGTAAAATTAAATGAAATGTCCCGTTAGATCTACTACAGTTTTTCAGTGTATATAGTATGAAAATCTACTGTTAACCAATTAAAAGGTTTTTACTGTAGCATTTTTACATTCATTTACCATTAACATTTTTACTGCTTTTATGTTCCCCAGAAGAAAAAAGGTCATGATTTGGTATGACATGAGTAAATGATGGCAGACTTGTGATATTTGGGTGAACTATCCATTTTAAATAGGAAGCAATGCACGTCTCTTCACCTGGGTTAATGTGGGACGGCCTTAGTTACCTGAAGTATTTACAAAACAATCAGACGGCATCGTTCAGAAAAAATTGCTTTGTCTCACAGTGACACCCCGATTACAGATTACTCCTCAGCCATAAATGCTCGTCTCTTCCTTTGCACAACAAGAGGCATTTATAACAGTCAATTTGGGTTAATCATACAATCATTGACCTGTGTTTATGACGGCCCATTAATGGAGGGGGGGATTGGGGGTGTATGTAATTGTCAGAAGCATCGATGCGCTAGACAAGCGCTTGCTTTCTATATATATTCCTTGGCTGTAAAAGAGGCAAAGGCGCCCCTTTGGCCCGCAGTTATTGGTGCGGCCCTCAGGATGTGTGTTAGGTGCTTCTTCCTGACCTGATAAGTATTTAATAGATAAAGCCTTATCATTGGTGCTATTGTTCCTTGCTGTCTGCCTTTAAGATGAAGTACCGCAGAAAATGAGAAGGAAACAAAGCCCCCCAAAATGTTTAATTTAATAACCCACAGGTAGTGTAAATAATTTCGTAAATGATAAATATATGACTCATTTCCCACTACGCTTCCTTGTCACTTTAGAACTGTATGTATAATTATGTATTTCGCCCTATGGTGTAAATTACATTGGTCTGCCACCTACCTCAATCCCCTCTTTCCAATCACGCAATGTTCTTGTCTCACTGTCTTTCAATCATTGAGTTTGTGTGCCCTCTAATGTTGATCTTTACTGTAAGTGGGTCCTCGTGTGGTGATGTAAAGTGCCAGGTTTGGTTCTGGTTTGGTGGAGCTGCCTACTCATTGGAGTGGAGCCCCTCCTAACTTATTCTTTTATTGAGATTTCATTACAGCCATCATTGACATGAGGCCATCTCTCATGATGTCATGGAAATATGCTACACAAATTTGCAGCACAATGAGATCAAGTGGGGTTAATCGACTCCCCCTCTCTCTGCTTCCTTTTCACAGGCATCATTAAGGTGGGCCGCTGGAACCCCCTGCCCATCCATTACCTGACAGATGCTCCAGAGGCAACGGTTGCTGATATGTTGCTGGACGTTTACCACATGGTCACGCTACGCATCCAGCTACAGAGGTAAGAGGCCACAGAGCACTCTCAAAAATAAAGGTTCTTCAATAGATTCTTGGTTCAGCAGAGAACTCTCTGCATGTCAAGAACCTTTATGGTTATATGTTTTTGTGGGGAATTTAAAATAACAAAATAATATATAATATAAAACATATTTTTACGATAATTATTATTATTATTATAATAAATAAAATAAAATAATTATAGGTCCAATTTTAGGTTTAAATAACCAACCAAATAACTAAATAAATTAATATTTTGTGTAATTTAAACAGGTTATCTTGTGGTATCAGCTTGTAAAATCCTTCTAATTGAATATTCTTGTGATAACTGGGGAGTCTCATAGTAATTATATTAATATTTAATTTAATTTATTATAAAATAAGTATTATAATAGTATAATAATGATTATATTTTGTTATACATCATAACATAATATTAAATAATGATAAAAAACTAATAATAATATTTATTATAAAATACTATTTAAGATATTAATGTTTGCGATGAGGAAACATACAAAAGTTTCCCTTTTCTATATATTTTACTCCATTACAAGTGACGAGATAATTAAGGGATTATTTTGCTTATGTCAATTATAGACAGTTGAGCAAGCCTCTAAAGCCCTGTACATACATGACAGCAGAAGATAGGCCAGGGTAAACTTTTTATCTGCACTTCTCAATGAGCTCTTTCATGCCCACTGATTGCAGTTTACTCTTGGATGCAGAGGAGATAAACATAGGGCCCAAATGAGAAGATTGTAGTCTTTGTGTAGTCATGTACCATCCAGGTTTGTTTCCCTGTGTTTCCATGGTGATATTATTGTTGACCTGGCCTGCTGTAGGGTTTATTGATTCAGAACTGAAGATGATTACAGTAGAGTAATGGAGGGATGAGTAATAATGATTTTATGGATACAGCTTTGCCAAACTGGAGGACCTTCCATCAGAGCATTGGAATCACGCTACAGTACGCAACGCCCTCAAAGAACTGCTCAAAGAGATGAACCAGAGCATACTGGTCAAAGAATGTCCTCTCTCCCAGGTACAGTTGCTACCCACTCAGATTTTTTCAAATCCAACACACATAGATTTGATCATTTAAAATGATAAGTAAAACATGGTCACGCTAGTAAAACACTGCTGGTGCAACTCTTCCAAAACTAACAACATAATACTTAGCAGTATAACATAAATGAAAGTGTTGGACTCAGTATTGCATTATGCTTGCAGATGTTCCAAACAATGGCGTCAGTGCGTGGTTAATGTAGCCTAAATTGTCTTAGCGTGTTTCATTAATCAATTTGAAATTTACTCAAACATTCCCTGCATTCATGGGCCATTTCTAAAAACCAGAAATTACTTCACATGAGAGAGAGAATGCGTGTGTGTGTGTGTGTGTGTGTGTGTGTAACTGTGGGTGTCCATCCGCGATCCTTGCTCTGCTCATTTCCAGCGAGCAATCTTGGAGATTTATGTATCTGTGCATGCTGTGTTTAAGTGGAACTCTGTGTGGGTGTTGATCCTCATATCAATTGTTTGCATATGTGTGTGGCTCTTCGCCTCTACTTATGTCACTGCGGGTTGAAGCTTGTCGCGGCATTCGCTATCTGACTTGCCTGGGTGGCTTTCCACAGTAATGTGTTTTATAGACCATTTAGCATTGCAATTTTAATTTCTTGACCATGTGTTAATTTCTGTTATCCTCTGTCGTTATTCCCATTTTTTCCTTTTATTGACCTCTCTCTAATTTCTTTGACTTTTTTCAGAGTATGATCTCCTCAATAGTGAATAGTTCCTACTATGCTAACGTCTCAACTGTCAAGTGCCAAGAGTTTGGTCGCTGGTACAAGAAGTACAAAAAAATTAAAGGTAAGGCTTGTACGGATGTCTTTTTGGCTGTATTTATACTCTGCCCAACCAAAATCCAGATTTAAGTCCAGGTTAAATTCTTCCTCTGTTATTTGGTGCCATTTTAAATGTGGAAAAAAGACTAAAATGCTAAGCTGACATTATCACAGTAGTCTGGTCAGGAAAGCGTAGCTTTGATCAAACTCGCATACTGTTTGAGTAGGTATTGTACATTCGATGAAGAACTTAGTTATTCTATATAGTTTGAATGTGTGTAGTGTCAATGAAATCCAGACGTACAACATCTGTCATAGTCATTTTCATGTGATTTACGACTTTAGTTGCTTCGCTTCACTGCCACTGCCAACTCCTCTCCTGTGGCCTTAAGCCATAGTAAAGTGTTCATTGAATGCGCACTTCAGAAGTTGTTTTATGAATACTGTAGTTTTATGAATTTACGAATTCAGACATACACTTCTCTTTTCACATACTGTTTTTTGTCTGCTATGTAGTCGGGAACTAGGCGTATTCGGACACAGAGACTGTGTTTTTTTCAGAGATTTCCCTTTTCTAGCATGTGGTGAGGTATTCAGGGTCATGAGCAAGTCTTGAGTTTTGTGCTACGTTTTTTACATTATCTCTTAATGAATCCTCTTACCTGGGATGGGGTAACACAAACCACTGTTCCTTCCCCCAAAATGCCACAGGGGGTCTACCAGTGACAGGTCCTGCAAGGAGTCATCCCACAGCTCTGCTGTTTAAGCCTCTTAGCATCCAAATGCATGTGACAATTTTCCTCCTCTCGTTGCCCCTTCAAAAAGTGAAATAATTACACAGCAGGACAGATCAAAGTGAGGGCTAAACCCCAAGTGCAGTGAGAGAGCGAGCAGCAACAAAGAATAAAGCGATCCTCGGCACGCTGACAGAATAAGTGGTGTTGAGTTACACTGAGCCTCCTCCATTAGTTCTGCTCCTTGCCTCCCAGAGCTAAACACTCAGCCCGCATTGCCAGATGTGTGTGCCAGTGCAGAGAGACCCCATTGGATGACTCATGTGTCAGTCATCCAGTTGTAAACCCAAGTTGTAAAACTTTATATTCATGAAACAACGTTGTTTCATTGTGAGCGTGATTGAGTAAGTGAGTGAATGCTTTTGTCACTTACCATAAGTTCCTTGTATCTGTTTCAGGGGATTATTTGTGGCAAGGACGGGACAGCTCGGAAATCAAGGGTAAGCATCTACATTCTAATGTTTATTTGGGTAAAAGATTGTCTTTGATTTGTCTACTAGAACACTAGAAAGTTTGTTCTAGTGCCTCATACGCATATCCATCCCACCACAGTTGAAAGGGACAGTCTCACTGACTTCTGTGTATTAGCCCAGCGTCCGCCCTCTCACCTGGCTGGTCTGGCGCAGCTCTGTCCCTTGAACAGTGCCGGCTCTCTGGTGAAAGGCGGCTCTGGAGAACCTCAGAATTCAACCCAGTCTCAGCCTCCATCCCAAGGGCAGCCGCAATTACAGCTCCATCACAGTCCTCCGCTACGGGCTCAGGTGCCTCCTCCACCTCCGCCTGCTGCCCTGCAACCTCTTTTGGCGCCTGGAGGACTTCTCTCACCTCAGCTCAGTCCACAGCTGGTGAGGCAGCAGTTAGCCATGGCTCATCTTATCAACCAGCAGCTGGTCGTCAGCCGCCTCCTGCATCAGCATCCGCAAGCTCTTAACCAACAGTTTCTCAATCACCCACCCATCCCGCGGCCTAGCAAGTCCGGTGGCCCTGGAGAGCCTGGGTCCAACCCCTCAGCTGCGGAAGTCTCCTTTGATGTCTACCAGCAGGTGCGAGACGAGCTGAAAAGGGCCAGTGTCTCACAGGCAGTGTTCGCTCGAGTTGCCTTCAACCGTACACAGGTAAAGTATAGACTGCATGGTGGAGAATATGTTATTCACTTAATGGTTCAAAGGTTTAAAGAAAAACTTTGAGAAAGGAGACACTACACCATATATAGTAGCAAAGAGCCTCTTCAGAACATACCAGTCACTAGGGCGTGGCGATGTATTGAATATTCATGATGTATTTGTAATGATATTTGTAAATTATGTAACACTGTGAATATCGCAATGATTTTAATGCACTTTTTATTTGGACATTAAGTTTCTGTAAGTTATACCTAACAAAAATTGCTTGCAAAAGTAATATTTAAACAAATGATTTAAACATGCCTTTGGTAAGGTAAGGTAACTTTTGGTAAGTGTGAAGTTAGTTCAATTAATGCCAAAGCAAATGTATTTGCTTTACCATTTACCAAACTGTATTTTAAAAAATAAAATAAAATAAAAAATAATATGAAAATTAAATGTTTATTTTATTTTTTAATGAATTTTAAAATGTTATAGTTTTAATTTTGTAGTTTTTTTTTTACATTTATTCTGAGTTTGTAATACCATTTAAAGTTGTCATATAACGGAAGTAGTGACAGATCTTTTCTACTTTATTGTCACTTACATCCAAGTGAAACGTATTATCGAAAAAGAAAAAAAAATGTTGGATGGGGACTTGCTTCTCTGTTTGTTGTTGATTGGATTGAGCAGTCAATTGCAAGAACCCATATTTATAATCATTTGCAAGCTTGCATTAAGCTCCATCCAACAACCTTTTTTTTTTTTTTACAAAGTCCAATTTTTTACAACTTTTTTTAAAATTAAACATATGCATCAATTAATTGTTTACAATAAAATCAATAGCATGCATTTAGAAATAGACTGGGTGAATTTGCTAGTAACTATCCCAAACACAGACCAAATATAGAAATCAGACCATATAAAAATCAGAACTAATGCAAGTTTATTTTGGCACTGAACTAAACAAAAACAGGCAATAAAGGTGTCAAAGCTGTTCTGTTGGAGGTTTCAGGTATGTGAGTCGCTTTAAGCATGTCAGCATGATAACTCCATATCCAGAGGTTGGATCCTCTCATACACCCTTCCGGCAGCAAACACACCTGGGCTGCGTTCAGCCCCGACAAAACGGTGCAAAATGTTTTTTAAACGGATACAGTGGTGCGTTGAACACTCTGTTCTGATGACGCAAGAGTTGCAACTATGGCAGCTGAGAAGGCCATTCTTTGTGTTCTTTTTGAAGAATTTTCGGAGCCTGATGAAATCGGTATAAATACGTGTTTAATACTGCAAAATACGCTGGATGTTGCAGTCACTGCCCTTGCCGTCCAGAATAAAAGAGAACATCCCAATCGAGTGAAGGGATTTGTGGAAACTGTGGTTCCTAATTATTGTTATCCAACATTTGCCTCGCATTTCAGGATGAAAAGACAAATATTTCAGGTGAAGGATAATCCACCTATTGTAATATTTACCATTATATAATCAGAGGAGTATAGAAAAGTTTATGAAAGTGTCACTCCACAATACAATAGCAAAATATGTATAGTATTTTTATGTTACATTAATCAGTGTCTAGCACACCTTCCTACAGAAAGGACATGGACCAGAAGACATTGCAATTACTAAATTATATTAAGACATACTTAAAGAAGTTCCAGATCTATACATGTGCTCTTATTATTTAAATTTTGACTTTAATGTAAATAAACATGTGCAAACAATATACTTGCTCTTGTGAATTTATTTTGATGTTAATTACATTGTGCGAGCTGTCTCTTTAATACCACGTGGTTTATACACATGTTGCTGCTGATTGGGCTGACATTTTTGACACACCCACCAAACAAGAGAAAACGTATCTCAAACCCTGTTGCACACCGTTGCACACCGTTTCCAGGAAACATGTCGTTCAAACCGGAAACCATAGCAAAACGGTGCACACCGGTTTGAGCTTGAACGTGCCCCTGGTGAACTGCAGGTCTAATTTATGTCCAATTACATCCAACATAGTGCACAGTCATTAAAGAGTGGGTGGATACTTACATGGTCCAGGTGAGGTAACTGGATGTATGTGTTGCAAGAAAATGAGCCTTTTGCAAATCACTTCCTATGTGCTTACGTGCATGTTTATGTGTGTTCAACAGGGCCTGTTGTCAGAGATCTTACGAAAAGAGGAGGACCCACGCTCAGCCTCTCAGTCCTTGCTAGTGAACCTCAAAGCGATGCAAAACTTCCTGAACTTACCTGAGAGTGAAAGGGACCGAATTTACCAGGAAGAGCGAGAGCGCAGCATGAACCCCCCTGTGAGTCTGCCCCCAAGCACAAACCCCAGCCCTGGTTGCGCCCGCCTCTCTCAGGTACCCCACTTTCTCACCCTTGACTAGATTCAGCCCCCTAAACATCTCTTTTCCCCTGTTGCTGCTTTGTTTGTATGTTTGACTGGGTGTAGAAATACCTGAAAGCTTGTGTTGTGTCTGATTCTGAATTGTTTATCCGTACGCCTATGAGATTGCTTTTGTTTCTGTCTGGATTCATGTGATCTGTTTACTTGTTTTGTTTGGCTTACACTATGTTGTTTTCTTTGTAATCTGTGTGTTATAAAGCTAAGTTTAAAAAAATGCAAGAAATTTAGTAAAGAACACTGAAGTTTAGTAAAGGCTGGAATATGCTACACAACTTTTAAAACCTTAAGATATTTTAAAGCACTTGCCATCACACACTTGCCGAAAAACAAAACAAAACTGGGCATCATACATAAACAACTAAGGGGATCACACACTACCAGACTTTTAAGTCTTTCTGAACCCAACAAACTCACGCAGAAACATGTGCCTCTTTGATAGGAGATGCATGACAAATTAAAACAATATGCGTTGTAAAATTGGCTCAAAATATCACTTTCAGCAAAATCTCTGACTCACAGCAACTAAAGTCATGTAGAGTCTTCCAGCTTTAAGACAGCAACAAAGGTCAAATGTTTAGCTCCTGACATCTTTAACTAAAGCACTCAATGTTATGCTATTTTTCTAGTAAATGTAAATTATATCTTGTCTTTGAATATGAATACATATTGACATTGACAACAACAATATGGATAACTCACTAAAACAACCACACTGCCTTTCAAGACAGTGCCCTCTAAGGGTCAAAGGTAAAACCTGACTGCTACCTTCTTACTGCTAACTTCACACCATACCTCCCAATGCAGAAAGTGTGGGAGCGCAGCATCGATGAACAGTTAACCCCTGACGCGTGGGCATCTATTTGGAAGAATAAGACCAAAATCACAAACTCGGTGAGGATTACATCAACACTCACTTCATTTCCTCATAGAGTGTACCTCATCCGAGACCAATGAGATCAACTGTAATGATCAACTGTACGCACAAAACTTTTCCCATTTTGCAAATAAAAGCCAAGCTACTACAGAAGGTCAAATTTATAATGTTTATATTGAAGATTTACAACTATGTATATGTTTGTTAAAGATTCACACCCATTAAAACGCCGGGTCCACAAGTTCTTGCCCTTGATTCTCTAAAATGACAAAAGCAGGAAAGCATGGTTCTGCTCTTGTCATGGCATGTTTATATTAAATGACCTGGAACCTGGTGCGTGGACTTTCTAGAATGCTTGTATGAATCATATGAATACAGCTGCTTTCAACCTCAGCACCATTGTAAAAGAAACCATGTATATAATAAAAAAATCTTTCTGATATGAGAACAAAGTTCCCATTCTTTGGTCTTAGGGAATGTGGTTGTGTATTATCATTACTATTATGTCTGTATATGTTTATCTCGCAATCGTTTTTACTGGGGAATGTGAGATTACTTGCCTGTGCCTGCAGGGCAACTTCAAACATTGAATAAGAAAACACACCACTCTAAAATCAATACACCATACTTCAAACACGTACTAAAAAGAGTTTACTAACGGGATGCTTTAATGATTTATCTGCTAAAATCTCAGTACATTGCAGGTACGAACAAGGGTCTAAAATGTCATCCATGAATGTTATCTCATATTGTACTCTCTCTAGCAATTATCAATATTTATCTAACCAATATGTCTTTGTTGCTTTTACCTTTGACTGCTGGACCCTCACAGTCCAAAACTTCTGGTCCTAACCCTGACCTTCCCCTGAAACTGGAGCCACTGGTTAACATCACCTCAGCCATTTATGACGAAATCCAGCAGGAAATGAAACGGGCAAAAGTGTCTCAGGCACTTTTTGCCAAGGTGGCAGCCAACAAGAGCCAAGTAAGAATGGATTTTTTAATTTTTGTTAGTAAACTGGACACGTTTCCATTCTTTCACATAACATAATGCGAAAACTAAACTATACAAATACAAATTCTAAACTATAGCTTCATCTATGTAAACTATTCTACACTGAAAATACACAAAAAACAAGTTTTCAAGTACATTTTGCATATGGGTTTGCGTTTTATTTCAATGTACAGGAGAATTAAAACAATTTGGTATTTTCATATGATAATTGTTAATAATATAGAAGTGTACGCTAACTGTAAAAATAAGGTTGTTCATGAGTGGCGCTTTCAGGTTCTTCAGCTTAAATGGCTTTTTTGGCTTCTTGAGAGATCCTTTTATTATAAAAAAAAATTATAATAATAATAGAAATAAATAATTATGAATTATTTTATACTTTATATTAATATTAATATTAATATTTAATATTTTTAGGTGCTTGAAATATTAAGGCACATGATATTTTAGACACTTAGTTTTTAAAGTGATTTGTTTTATTCTAAAAAGATGTTAAGATTACACTTAGCTTACATGTTCTTTCCTCAGTCAGTATGTGCAGACTGTTATATCTGATTCTGGCGCGTCTGTAGTTGATAAACAAAAACATCAACAGATAGCCTGATAAATGCCTCACATTTATTCATCTCTGACTTACCATTCCAGATCCTGCCAAAGAACCTCACTCTTTCTTTCAGTGCCTTAGTCAATGTCTCCCATCCTATGAGTCATGGCTTATGTTGTGATACAGATGAGCATCCAGTGATCCATAGATTGATCTGATTTCTTTCCTCATACCTTTTACATTGACACTTGTTCCCAGACATCTATATAAAGAATGCAGAATATTGTGACTAAAACTATATGTCAAAAAAGTGTAATAGTCAATGTTTTTGAGGCCTTGAAAAACTCTTAAACATTTTCTAACTTAAGTAAACAGGCATAGTAGCAGTTATGAAAAGCATATCACAGGAATCTACTTTTGTTTTTTGAAATATTTTATAAGCTTTAAACTTATTCATAACTTAGTCCAAAATTAACACTTAAAAAGGACTTGCTTGAAGCAGTTTATATTTCTGTTTTCCTAATATACAGTGGGTACGGAAAGTATTCAGACCCCCTTAAATTTTTCACTCTTTGTTATATTGCAGCCATTTGCTAAAATCATTTAAGTTAATTTTTTTTCCTCATTAATGTACACACAGCACCCCATATTGACAGAAAAACACAGAATTGTTGACATTTATGCAGATTTATTAAAAAAGAAAAACTGAAATAACACATGGTCCTAAGTATTCAG